GGGTAGAGCCCTAGCTGGAACCCAGTCCCAGATTAGAGACTCTAACACTCCCCTCTCTTCTCTAGCTGGGACCGGAAGAACAACCCAGAACCCTGGAACCGTTTGAGCCCCAATGACCAATACAAGGTACTTCCAGGTGACTAGGGCTGCTTGTCCATCACTTATCTCCTGGTGCTTCCCCTATGGGGCAAAATGGGTCTGTCAGGACAACTCTCCTTTCCCTCTCCTCTTAGTTCCTTGCGGTTTCCACTGACTATAAGAAGCTGAAGAAGGACCGGCCAGACTTCTAAACAGACTGGGTTCATGAGTTCGATGTAAACCACACACTCATTTCTTCCATTCCCTGCTCTCAGACCCTGGGGCATCAGTCTGGCCATTCTGTCAAGTTCCTGCTTATACAGGCTTGGTTCCCACGCAGAGAACGCAACTCCAACCCCCACCATCCTCCCTCACTCCCATCTGCGGAAGCGCCTCTGACCCTTGGATTGAGTCCCACATGGGGGAGGGGAGTCAGGGCGGCAAGCAGCAGCTGGGTCCAACCCAAAGGGCCCAAGCCAGCCCCTCTGCTCTCCTACCCTGTACTTGCAGGGTGTGGTGCAAGCTACGTGTTAAGCGTGGCCTACGTGAGCCAACAGCAAGCAGGGACCTGAGTGCCAAGAGACGTGGCAGGCCCCATGTTAACCCAGGCTCTGAGTGCCTGCCCAGGGGTGGTGCTGCTCAGGCTCGACTGGGCTCGTCGCCTATGCCCAGCCTGCCTAGGCTGAGGCACCCATGCCATGTTACATGCTCTTCCCTTGCCCAAGCCTGCTGCCTCCCACACCAATAGCACCCCCTCCCTGTACGCACCTGGCCTTCCCCCAGCAGCTTCCCACTGCTCCTCTCCCCTCCCTTCCCTTGCTCCCTTCTGTCCCAGGGGATCAAACAGAAGCAGCCGTGGGCAAAATACAATTTCATTTAACAAATTGAATTTGCTGCGCCTGCTAATCACGTCTGGTGTCCGCTCTGATCAGAAACACAGAGGAGGCTGCAGCCTCCTGGGGCCTTGTGGTGGTGGTGGTGGTGGTGGTAGTGGTGGTGGTGGTGGTAGGGAAGGGAGGAACACACTTTGAAGGAGTCAAATCATCTGCTGGCCCAGGGGACCCCTCCCACAGTAATAGAAACTCCTGGGCAGGTGAGCATTTTATTAGATTAAAAAAAAGGAAGTGTGCCACCCACCCCTTCCTCTGGCTCAACTGGGTAACTCTCCCACCTCAAGAAAGAGCAAGAGTCTATATAATACTGATAATGGCAGAGGATTAGGGCAGAAAGCTGGAGGTAGAGTGGGGCTCCTTCTAAATCTAGTTACAAAAAAGAAACCTCAGCTACAAATTCTGGCAAGGGGGACTATACCTCCTCCACCAAAAAATAGAATGGTAAGTAGTATGCCCTTCCACTGGCCCAGGTGAGGCAGGCGGGGGACAGGGGTAGTAATTTCCAGTCTGTGGGCCTTGATTCCCAGGTGTTTTCAGCGCTCATCAAAACCAGGCATGGGGAAGGCCCTGGCAAATTGCTCCACCCTTTGCCTGAGGTTGGCCAGGTGCTGGCTTGTTTCTGGGTCCTTGAGCAGGAAGGATTTGAAATCCTGGAGCTTGGCTAGAGCGGTGAGGGGGGAAAAAAAAAAAGGTTAGCATTGTATGGAAGGCAGTGAAATCAGCTGGGGGAGGGAGCACAGTGAGGTAAAGAGGCTGGCTAGGGGGCTCTTTCTTTGTCTGCTTACCAGTCTTACTCTTCACCTTCAAACCGATGTTGACTCCTTCATCAATGAAGTCCACAACTCTCCGGAAGTCATCCTCACGGAATTGCCGAGAGGTCAAGGCTGGGGCCCCTGGAGAGGCAGGAAAAAGGATTAGTATAACTAAGGTCACCCGTTGTGGGCGTCCTTCCCTCCCTGAGCCCCAGATCTCACCAAGCCGCAGGCCCCCAGGGGTGATGGCACTTCGGTCTCCAGGACATGTGTTCTTGTTGGCAGTGATGGACACAAGCTCTAGCACCCGCTCAGCCCGAGCCCCATCCAGGCCTTTAGGCCGCAGATCTACCAGCACCAGGTGGTTGTCAGTGCCACCTGAGGGGGTTAATAATCAGGGAGTGGTGAGTCTGGTGCACCTGCTTGAGGCTATAAAAGCCCTCACCCAGCCCCCTGGCTCACCAGACACCAGTGAGTAGCCTCGCTCTAGCAGGGCATCAGCCATGGCCCGAGCATTCTTCAAAACCTGTAGGGAGTACTCCCGGAACATGGGGGTACAAGCCTGGGAATGAGACAGTAGCACCTGTGACTCCAGGCCCCAGGTCCTACTTCTTCTGCCCCTTCACACTCAGCATGGCTCCAGGACCCCAGCTTTGACACCTCCCGTCCTGGCAGTTCCCTTCCATCAGCTTCAACTTTAGTTACCAGAAGCATTTAAGTCTCGGGAACAATGTCCCCCCCACCCCCATAGGGCAGGCTCCCCAACCTGTTTTAGGGCCACTGCTACTGCAGCAATGGCATGATTGTGTGGGCCCCCCTGCAAGGATGGGAACACAGCAAAGTTGATTCGGTCTTCAAATGTGTAAGGTATCTCCCTGCCAGTCTTGGGGTCCACAGACTGTACCCCTTTCCGATAGAAGATGAGTCCTGACCTGTGCAGAAGGTGAGTGGTTAGAATCTAAGCTAAAAATAAAAGATAAGGATTGGGGAGATCAGAGGAAGTTGGCTGGCTTGGGCTGTCGAGGCCTCTCAGAGTCCCCTCAGTTGTCCTTTGTACAGTGGATTCCAGTGGTGGAGGGAATCAGCCCCTCACTCCCACTCACAAATCCCCTGCCAAGGAATGGCCATCAAAAGCAAGAAAAGGAGAACCATCACAGACTAAATGGAAGTCTTCCGGGGTATAGGTAGGAATGAATTCTCAGATCCAGCCTAGAGCAGGGTGTGAAGGCAGGGAAAGGCAAGGCATGATCTCAGGGAACCTGACCTGGCCCCTCGAAGAGTCTTGTGAGTGGTGGTGGTGACAATGTCCGCATGCTTGAAAGGTGAGGGGATCACCTTGGCAGCCACCAGGCCACTGATGTGGGCCATGTCTGCCAACAGGTGTGCCTTGACTTCATCACACACCTGGACAGGTACAGAGATAAGCCTCAGCCTGGGGAGGGCCCAGACAGGCATACCCAATGCTACCCCCCAATCTCTCCACCAAACCCTGAGACAGTGCCAGTACTCCAGCCCCCCACCAACCTCTCTCATGCGGGCATAGTCAATGAGGCGAGCATAGGCACTGGTACCAGCTATGATGAGCCGTGGTCGGAAAAGCCGAGCAGTCATTGCCAACTGGTCATAGTCAATGAGTCCGGTTTGGGGCTGGACAGACAGATAAACAGCTAAAGGCCTGAGATGGCAATAGTGCTTGTCCCTCCTTAACCCTGAGGGCTGCCCAGAGCTCTAGCCCCCCCACTGCCCAGCAGAACCAGGGCCTGGGCAACTACCTCCTACACCCTAGAGCACTCACATTGAGTTTATAGGGCATAGACTCAAAGAAGATAGATGTGGCAGAGATCCGCTTGACGTCAGACATGTAGCCATGGGTGAGACTAGGAAGTGAGACGAAATAAGGAGGTCTCAGAGTGTAAAAACTCAACTTCCTCACTCCCTTCCTACCCATCTCCAATGTCTGTCCTGAGCTTGCTGCATCTCATTGCTCTGTCCACTCTGTGGTGGACACTGATGTGACTGCGATCCTATCTTCCTCATCCACTGTAACATGCAGGACAGGGAGAGGTATGATATGGAATACAGTGGGTATGCAATAACTCCTTTGCCACATTAGTACTGTCTACAGCTCAGCATCTGCCCCATCCATACTCACTGGCCCCCATCAGGCAGGTCCAACCCCATGAGTCGGTCATGCGGCTGCAGAAGGGCGGTGTAGGCAGCCAGATTGGCTGGGGACCCTGAGTAGGGCTGGACATTGACTCCCCACTGAGCAGGATCCAGGTCAAAGGCTTCCAAGGCCCGGCGCTGGCACAGCCGCTCAATTTGATCCACTACCTCTGCTCCCCCATAATATCTGCCATGAAGAGAGGTACATAAGGGCACAGAAAAAGGACTCTAGACCAGCAGCAAAGGACTGGGAAGGCCACTGCTCCATAAATACTGGAGGGTACAGGAAGGTTCCACCACTGGGAGCACCATCCCTGATGTTGCCCTCCAGCCCTCTGGTGCCTAGCCCTCACCTCTTGCCAGGATAACCCTCCGAGTACTTGTTGTTCAGACAGGACCCCAGGGCCTCCAGCGCAGCTCGGCTGCAGAAGTTCTGGGGTGATGGGGGGGCAATGTCAGAAGGTATTGAGTCCCTTCCCCTGGACCCCCATAGCCCCGCCCTGCCAGAGCCTGCAGGCTGCAGGGGGGAGTCAGGCTGTACAAAAAGCTGTTAATTCTGGGTTCTTTGCCAAGCATGGGGCAGGGCCAGAAGGAGCATTCTCAGAAACTCAGCTGCCATGATGTTGTTCCCAGTAAGGTCACCTGTCCACTCAAATTTGTGTTTCCAGGCTCCTCTTTCCTCTTGGGAGGCAGAGAGGGAATAGTTGAAGCTGTAGGGACTCTGGAAGGCTGTGTAAACTTCCTAATGCCCAAATATCCATAAACTGGCCTTGCTTTTGCTTCAGAGGAGAATAAAGAGAGGGAAATAAAGCCCAGCAGAAAGGCCCTGAGTCTGACAAGGAAATCTGAAGAAATATTGGCAAGATAGCTTGTTACTACCTATACCCACCCCCCTACCCTGTCTCCCCAGCTCCCACCTCTGAGGCAATGAGCTCCAGGCCACGACACTGCCTGTCCTTCTCCTTCTGTAGTAGTTCCCACATCTCAGGGTCACTGTCTGACAGACTCTCCTGGCCTGTCCAACCTGTGGTTGCTTCTCCAGTCTGAGTTTGGGCCACCTTGCTGTGCTGAGCTCGAGTAGCCATCCTGACCAGTTGGTCACATCTCTGCAGAGGCTAGGGGCAGGAAAAGCTATGGTCAAATAAAAAACTGTCCAAACAAATAGTCTCCCAATCACCCCCAGCCATGCTTATACAGCCCTCTGGCTCTGTACCAGGCAGCCAGTTGTCCAGCCAGACTGTTCCAGTTCTTTCCACCCCCATCTCCACCTTTAAAAGCCAGTTCTAGATCCAAGGTTGAGATCAATGTCCAGAGGGGTAATTCTGATTCGTTCCACTCACCTCACCTCAGACTCTCTCTCCACCTCAACCCATGAGCCACTCTGCAAAGCCACAGGGCAAAGCTTATTCTCCAGAAGCCCCTGTCTCCCAAATTCAGGAGAGAGCCAGAGATTCCAGAACCTCCCCACCCATAGGAACAAAGGGGCCTTTCTTCAGGGCCTCCACAAACTGATACCCCAGTCAGGAGAAGAGACCAAACTGACAGGGGTTAAGGCCACAGGCTGTAGAGGTGGTTTCCAGAGCAATGGAGGTGGAAGGGCAGACCTGAAGCAGTCCCTGGGAAAGAGGTATTGGGGGTGGGAGGATGTGTGGGGAAGGGGTGGATCCGCAGGGAGGCCCAACACATATCCTGTCCCCATGTCACCGTCGCCCCCCCCCCCCCCCGCCTTTACACTTCCTTCTAGCCCACACTGCCGCAGGACCCCTGCCTGATGAAAGCTGTGGGGCTTGGTTGCATCATCTGCATGGTTCCAGAGCTGGCGGGAAAGGCTCGGGTTGCGGGTCGAAGACGAGAACCCACTCGTTAGCCAGCACAGTGTCTGTTTAGCAGCCGGCGCAGTCCTCTCCCCTAATGCCACGTTAAATGGGCGGTCACGAGGCCCTGGGGCATCTGACTGCCAGAACGAAGAGAGAACCCAGTTCACCCCACGCGCGCCCGGGAGTTTCAGGGATTCCCTAGTTACACATCCGCTGAGGCCCAAGAACACGTGCAGTGTAAAAGCCAGGAGAATCCGAGAGTTTGTGAATGGGCAAAGGTAGGAAGTAGGGCTAATCACTGGTTATCCAGTCTCCGGAGCCCCGTTCTTACCCGAGCCACCCGGAGGAAAGAAAAGGGCAGCATCGCAACTCCACGTCGCAGGAGGTACAGCCACCAACTCTGGTCGGAGAGTAGCAAAATGTTGGAAAACACCGTTCCGAGAGCGCATGCGCGAGAACGACCCGAGAAGCCCGGCAAGGGAAGGAGAACACGCGTGCGCAATGGTGCCACCTTTGTGGCCTTTTGGGAATTGTAGTTTTCTTCCGCTTCATTCCACATCTGTAGCCCCAAGGCTAAAGAACCTTGCTTGAAAGAATACTGGACTGCTACATATTCTAACTATCCTGAAGATATCCGGGATTTCTTTTTCCTGTCAATTGTTAAGACAAGAGTTTATTGGATATCTACTGAATATCGAGTATTCTTAGGCTCTCTGGGAAATCCAGAGACTCCCATACAAGATAGGGTAGTGCTGTGGAAATCACTGTGGTTTGAAAGGGTGGGACACTTGAGTTCAAGTTTCAACCCCAGGTAGTAGCAAATTAGCTTGCTGTACCTCAGTTTCTTCATTTGTAAAGTCATAATAAAATATCATGCGGTGGGGATGAAATGAGACTTCTTATGTAAACATGAGCTTCCATGGATTGTCTTCCACCTATTCCTCTGAGTCACAAAACTGCTTCCTCCTCCAAGGCTATTTTCTCCTCCTCAGACAGCTTAAAGGAGAATGAGGCGTCCCCTCCTGTTGCAGTTATTCCATTTTGTTACCTGTCCACTTGATATCCTGTACTCAGTGAGTCATCTTTATTTATTTATTTATTATCTATTTATTTGTTTTATGGTACTGAAGCTTGAACTCAGGAGGCTCTACCACTGAACCACATCCCCAGCCCTTTTAAAATTTTATTCTGAGATGGGGGTCTCCCTAAATTGCCTAGGCTGGTTTCAAACTTGCGATCCTCCTGCTTCAGTCACCTGAGTAGCTGGGATTACAGGTACAGGGTTGGCCACTGTGCTTGGCTAGAGAACTTCCTTTTAGTCTTACTGTATCTGGATAAAAACCCTGAGTAATTTTAGTCTTACTGTATCTGGATAAAACCCCTGAGTAAGGTACTCATTGATATCTTTTTTTTTTTTTTTAAGTTTTTGGCGGACACAACATCTTTGTATGTGATGCTGAGGATCGAACCCAGGCAGCAAGCATGCCAGGCGAGAGCGCTACCGCTTGAGCCACATCCCTAGCCCCTGATATCTTTTTTTTTCCATAATTTTTTTAGTTGTAGATAGACCAATAGCTTTATTTCTTTTATTTTTATGTGGTGCTGAGGATGGAACCCAGTGCTCACATGCTCACACGTGCTAGGCAAGTGCTCTACCACTGAGCTACAACCCCAGCCCTAATTGATATCTTCAACAAAAGATTTCCAAATGACTGGGGGGGGGGAGGGTGCTCTAAATGAATTTCAAAGACACATTCAAACCTCTTCTCAATGATTCTGATAAGCATTAGTTTTAAAAACCACTGCATGGGCTGGGGATGTGGCTCAAGCGGTAGCGCACTTGCCTGGCATGCGTGCGGCCCGGGTTCGATCCTCAGCACCACATACAAACAAAGATGTTGTGTCCGCTGAAAACTAAAAATAAATATTTTTTTAAAAAAACATTGCATTACACAGTACCATTACACATAAATTAATTCAATACACATATTGACCTTCTACTTCATGCCAGCACGCCATTGCCCTGAGATTCCAGAAGAGCTCACCGACTACTGGGACATCAAGAAGTGAACAGATGACAAAATTCAACAGGTGCAATGTGACTTTTTTATTTATTATGTCTTTACAGTTGGGGAGATTGAGGCCTAGATAGGCTAACTTGCTGATTCCATTCATTCATACCTGTCTTTCATATCAGGCCTCAGTGTCCCTCCCTAGATCTAACTTCCTTCCCACTCTGGCTCTCAGCTTTTCCAGGTGTTCTCAGCAATAAGCCTTGTGTAAGGAGACTTCTTTGCTATTCTTCCTCCGATCTCTAACCCAGAACCTCTCTCCATCTTCCTTCTTTCACTTGATCCCATTATTTATCCATTCATCCATCTGATATATACTTTCTGCTCACCAACTTTTCACTCTCAGGCATGCTGGTGAGTCATTGTCAGGCCAGAGCTAGTGGGCAATCCCTTGGTGAGCACTGATCTCTGCCTGTGGGCATCTTGACCCCGGACTTCTCAGAAAGAAAGCAGGATGAAGAGGAGTTGTTCCTCTGTGCCTCAGCTTGTCTGCACCCCTTCTTACCCCAGTCATGGGGGTCCCAAGGGGAGGGGGGCTGCTGAGCTGAGAACTGCTAATGAAGCAGCAGCCAATTAGCGGCCCCGGCCAGGGTTGGGGGCGGATAAAATTAGCAGCAGAGGCTGCAGGAGGGAGCTGAAGGCGCGGGTGGAGAGGGTGGGCAGCTGGCTGAAAGGGGCTGTGTTTGCTGGCGGCTAGCAGCGGCTACGAGGCCCCGCCCTCCAAACCCGCGCTCATCCCTTCCCCCATCTTGTCATCCCAACGCTCCCTCCCTTCTTCGTCCGTCTGCAAACTCAGCGCCCACGAAATTAGGAAGGAAAAGGAAGATCGATGACTCCAGATGCCGCAAACACTGTTCCCCCTCCCTCCCAACCTACCTCCTCCTCCAAGCTCCGCGGAGCTTAGCAGGTTGTCAGCGCTCTGCCCATTCTGTCCCTGAATCTCCCTCTTTTTCAAGTCATCCCAAATAGTGCGTTGGTAGTTCCCACTCAGGTCTAACACTCATTCTATCTGCAACAGCTTCGCTTTGCCCTCTGCAGAGAGGGGAATCCCCACCCCAGGTAGAGTTCTTACTCCAAGGGTCTGATACATTTCTCTGTGATCCAGTCTTGGATGACCTCCAAGGTGCTAGCTCTGTCACCTTTGCCTCAGTTTCCCCGTCAGTCACGGATGGAGGAGGCCCTGGCCAGGTCTCTATCAGACAGAAATTCACATCTGTCTTCCTCTTCCCTACAAAGGTCTCACACAGACACGTATTGGATTTCACTTTATTTTGTTCCCTTTCCCGTCTGTTTTGGCGTAGAAAAAAAATATCACCGAGAGGAAGCAGCCAGAGAGGGCAGGTGGAACTGCACTGCACCGACAAGAGGGAAGCAAGCAGAGGGCAGAGGCCGGGCTGAGTGCCCCTGCTTAGGAGTTCTGCTTCTGCGAGGTTGGGAGGAAAAAGGGACAGGCAAACGGCAGGCAGAGAGGGATAAGGATAGGCCAGGGGTTTAATAGACCTTTAGTCTTTACCAGGGGCACAGGAGAACAAGCGCTTGGGGGCCAGAATGTCTGGGTGGGATAAGGGTGCCAGGCCAGGTGTTATTAAAGCTACGGGCAAGGGGAGTGCCCAGCCCAGCGCCAGAAGCAAAAAGGGGATCCGGTGTGGACTAAGAGGACCCTGGTACCACCTCCAAACCCCGCCCATTCTAGGGCTGCGCCCTTATCTCTCCACGTTAGGGTGTATCTGAGGGGGTTACAGCCTCATGGGCACTCCCCATAAGGACAAGGGAAACACTGGCTGATGAGGGCTGTCCCCTTCCGCCGCACTCCGCAGCAGGAGTGGAGGAGACCACAGGAGCGGAGGGATATCGGGAGGAGTCCCACTTACAGAGGCTGGGATTTGGCGGGATGCTCAGGGCCGGGCCAGGGGAGCTATCCAAAGTAAGGGTGTTCACTTTGGAAGTTATAGTCTGGGCATACCTTCTGCACCAGTTTGTAGTCAAAGCTGAGGAAGGAGACGAAGATACAGATGACTTTGAAGGGCTTGGCACAGAGCCAGGCGGCCTGGCTCTGCGTGTGCTCAGTGAAGCACACCTGCGACGGGTCGTACAGGCACGGGCGGTGCTTACGAGCGCGGTTTGTCTTCTCATACTCCACGTGGCAATTGAAAGCGCGTGATTCTTTGGCCCCGGGCACTCCCAGAGCGCTGCCTAGTGAACCTGCCAGTGCGCCCCCAAGGGTGCCCCCAAGCCCCGGTCCCGCAGCTGCCGCCATCCCTAAAGGGGGCCCCAGCCCAGGAAGCACCCCCTCCAGGGCCAGCGTAGACTGTAGTGGGTGGGGGGCAGGCCCAGGCAGCCAGACGCCCCCGAACTCCACACGCTTAGAAGGTGGCACAATACTGACACTGAGGTTGCCCAGACTGGAGGAGTTGTGGCGGAAATACACACTGAAGGTACCATTCACATGGTCCACGATCTTGCCGGTCACCAGCAGCGAGAACTTGAGGGTATGCACTCTAAAGTAGAAGTCCCCCCAGCCGAAGATCTTTTTGGCTCGTGCGGCTTTGATGGACGGCTTCCTCTTAGTGCGCTGAGCCGGCAGCGCCCCGGCCACCCCCGCCTGGGTCAGCGCCCCCGTGTGGTTAGCCGGCCAGGCCCAGCTCCAGGCGCCGGCCAGCCCCAGGCCGTCAGAAGACCTGGACGCAGGGAGCTGTTGGCCAGGGGCACCCCCTCCTGGAGTAGCTGGGCGCAGCTCCAGGTACTGCGGCCTTCCCGACTCTGGTATCTGGGCACTGACGACCTGTGTAGGAACAAAGAGGAGGGAAGAGAGAGATGCTAGAGTGGGCCCTGGCCACCTTGCCTGAGCCCTACCCTGGCAGCCCTTTTCTGCAGCCACAAGGAGACCACATGCAGTCTTCCGCGGGTAGTTCAGGAGTGGATGTTGGAATAGATCTGCAGCCCTCAGTTTCCAGTATCTGTGAGATGACCTGAGAATCCCTGTGTTTCTCCACTGAGCTCCAAAATGAACCCAAATGCCAAATCCAGTGTGGGCATTGGTGTGAGTAGGGAATGGGTCCAGGAGGCCTCCTTCTTTCCTCACCTGGCCCATGGATGGTTCCAAGTAATAGGCCACGGAAGAGTTGGAGTGGAGCATGTGAGGCCGTGACCATCTCAACATACAGCATCAAGAAAGAGGTGGGAAGACCTCCCAGCTTCTGCGGAGACTAGAGCTCGCTTCCTGGCCTCAGCCCTGACTGCTCAGCGGGGAAGGGCCGCTGAGAACCGGTTGAGCTATGGAGAAGAGTCCCCGTGCGGTGGGTTGAGGCTTGGGGCTAAATGGGCTCCCCTCTCAATTCGGGCTCCCCTCTCAATCCGCAGCGCTCCTGCTGTGGTGGAGGCCGCCTGACCGCCCTTCCCTGGGCTGGGAGAGGACTGGAGGAACTGCCCCCGCCCGCTCACCGTCTCTGTGTCTCAGGTGGCGGCCGATCTGGGAGACAGCGCGGGCGCTAGTACAAGATGGATCGAGAGGCGGGAGCGTCCGGGCCAGGCCCGGGCCATCAATTATCTGGGTGGTGGTGGTGGTGGGGGGTGGCCGAGAGTGAAGGAGAAGGGGAGAGAGCGAGAGGAAGAAATATGGAGATGCCGCTCCAGCAGGGAGAGCGGGAGGGAGAGGAACCGAGAGCGTGTCAGAGTGTCAGTCAGCCTGTGCTAGCCACCACTGTGCTGTTTGGTGTGGCCCTGACTTCGTTCAGGTCCTGGGGGTGGGGGAACAGTACTGTCTGTGTCGGTCTGGGATGGCTGTGTTCCTGTTAGCCTGAAATGGTGTGTATCTTTCTACCCAGAGTTGCTCTGGTGTGTCAAACTGATACAGACTGTATATGTATCAGTCTGTGGTGGTTGGTGTGGCTGTGGTGAGTCTGTGTGTTTGTGTGTCTATGTATATCAGTCTGAGGAGGCTGTGTGTGTCTATGCCTGCTTGTAGTGGATGTACATCAGTTGTGGTGATTTGTGTATATGTGCTTGGATTGGCTGTGTGTCTGTGTGTTGATACCAGTGAGGCTATGTGTGTCAATTTGTAGTAGTAGTGTCTGTGGTGGTTGTGTTGTGTGTCTGGGTTTGTTATATGCCTACCTTTGGTGGTATGGAGGTTGTCACTTTTCCTGTGTGAATTCCTATCATCCTCTGTCCATGTCTAAAGCTCTTTCTAGAGGGGGTGTACCCATAGTGACAGTACAAGTATGGTCTGCGTTCTTGTGTGTGTGTGTATGTGAATTGTATATGAGGGAGACATACTGGCCTGCAGGCTGAAGAGTTTTGGGTACATAAGGAGGCCTGAACAGTGTAGGTGCCCCCTCTGTTTGCACACACCCATGTGTACACAATACGTGTCCGCAGGGGACAGGAATGCAGAGCCAAGCTACTGGGCTAGAATCTCTACCGCCTGGTCCCCTTCCCTGCAGCACTGCGATCCCAGGTTATTAATGCTGCCGCCACCCGGTCGTCATACATATTTATCGCCCCCCTCCTCCTTCCTCCCATGCAACCCTCCTCCCAGCCCAGGTGAGGGGGGTGGAGGCAGCAAGAATGATTGACTCAGACAGACAAGCTTGAGCTGGCATCTAACACTGGGAGGGTGGGGTTGAGAAGGGCTGGGGGAAGAAGTCTTAGCATACAGGGGCAGGGAGAAGAGACTTCCCAGGGGAAAAGGACCAAAATCCAAGAGGTAGGCTTGAGCCCTGGAAAGGGCATTGGAGGAGGGAGTGGGCAAGCTTCTAGGGAGAAAGTCAAGATGTGCATTATTGAACTCTGACCCCTAATCTTAACCCTCTGAACCCAACTGCTGCTCTTTCCAGGAAAGTCTAGACATCCAAGTCCCCTCCCCACATGCTGTGACTCCAAATGCACCCCAGTACACCCCAGCATGCTTTATGTCCTGCAGCAAGACCTGGCCAGGAGTGGTTCAGTCCAGTGACTCCTCAGAGACAGGGACTAGGGGAGGAAATGGGGTTGGACAGGATAGGGAAAGGTGCCAAGAGGTACCCCCACCTCTGATACCAGACAAATTGCTGTCTTTGCTTCTATGATCCTGGCAAATCCCTGGGCTTTGGACACTTACACCCCCCCACACACACGTCAGGGGCTGGAGACAGCCCAGATACAAGGGAAGAGTTGAGGGGAGGCAGCCAAAGCGACCTTGGGTGGGGGTTAGACAGGGAGCGCTGGAGAGTCTGTGAGGAAACGAGCCGAGAAATGGGAACATGGAATAAAATAAAATAAAATCCTCCCTCTGGCTTCTTTGATCGCCAGCACTCTCTCCCTCTCTTGCTCTCCCTTTTCCACTATTTTTTCATCTCTCTCTCTCCCCACCCTTCTCTCACTCTTTCTGTTTCTTCCTCCACTTTGTCTCTGCCTCTAATTTCTATCTTCCAGGATTCTGTCCCCCCTCCCCCATTTCTGTCTTTAACTGAGGCAGTCTTCTGTCCTTCAGGCTGTAGCAGTGGTGTGTGTGTGTGTGTGTGTGTGTGTGTGTGTGTGTAACTAGGTGGTAAAGGAGCTCCTCTTTGCTTAGACCCCTTCTCCCCTTCCTCGACTAGGGGCGGAAGCAGGGTGTTGTCTGAGGTGGGGTCCTCACGCTGCAGAGCTGGTTTAATTAAGCTAATTGGGCGCGGTGACATTTGCAGAGGGGAGAGGCTAGCACCACTGCCAGCACATGGTGGGGGGGAGGTGTGTGGTAGCTGGGGGGGGGTGCTTCAGCAGGCCCAAGAGGGTAGGAGCCAAGCCAGAGGCGCATTGCCCCCAAAGCAGTGAGCCCATGCACCTGAGGGGAGTTAAAGGCATCTCTGGCTACAGAACAAGCTCCACTGGGGGAGAGGGCTCTTTTGGGATGAGATTGCTGGGGCAGGGGATAGTCTGTCAGCCCCCAGCCGCATTGCAGGGTGCACCTCCCCTGGGCCAGTCATTTCTCTGCATGGGTCAGGGTTTTCAGGATTTGGCTGGGGGAGGAAACAGTGCCCTGTGGATGAGAAAAGAATGATCCAGGCCTGAAGTGGGGAGGGAGAAAGAGCATACTAAGCCCCTGCTCCTAGAAAGAGACAAGGGCATCACAATCAGGATGGGGTGAAGTCTGGCTGGGAATCACAGATACAGAAGGGAGTTAGGACAAGAGGTGGGTAGACATGACAGGATGGGGTGAGCACTGAGACAGAGATGGAACAGGAATGACATTGGGGACTAGGAAGGCACAGCAACAGAATTCAGAGACAAGGATGCAACAAGGATAGACATGGGGACAGGGATGCGGAGGAGAACAGAAATAGTGGACAGGCACTGGACAGAGACACATCGGATGTGGATGCAGATGGGGTGTGGATCAGAGGAATGGATAAAGGGTACAGAAAAGGATGGTAGCCAAAATGGGGTAGGGATGATAGATGAGGAATGGGCATTGGGGTCAGACAGGAATGAGATGGGACTGGGAATGGGGAGATGGTAATGGGGACAGAGTAGGGGTAGAACAGAAATGGAGAAGGATGGTTATTGAGCAGAAACAGGGATAAGGGTAGATGCAGAGACCTAAGATGGGGATGGAGGAAGCCAGTGAGGACTGGAATGGGAAATAGAGGGCAAGGAAAGTGACTGGAGACATGGACAGAGATAGAAGCTGAGGACAGGTATGAGAGAAGCCAAAGGAAGAGGCAGAAGGCCAGGCAGGATCAGGCTTTGGGAGAGGCCGGGGGTGGCGGGGGTGATGGGGTGGAGGCAAAGATACCTTATTCCAGACCCTACTACAGCTAGCTGGGGCGGGGGACTGCGGGTGGGGTGGGGTGGGCTCTGCCCTTGGGCCGGGCGCCCCTTCCCCCTCAGCCCCGCCTGCCCGCCTGCTCGCGGCCTGCCGCGCAAGGCTCACCGTTATCTGAATTTTGATTTTATTTTATTTTATTTTATTTCCCTGCTTCCTAGAGCCGGCGCGGTCCCCCCGGGAACGGCCGCCCCCCACCCCCCGCCCCGCGCCTCACTTTATTATTGCAATAAATGTGCCTATAAAGGCGCCGGCTCGGGGGCGCGGTGGGGGTGGGGGGGAGCCGCGGAGCGGGGATGTAATTTCCCGAAGCCGGAGCCGGAGGGGGAGTGGGCGGGGTGGAGGTGGAGGAGGGGCAGGCGGGGGAGAGGGTGAGATTTGCCAATTTCCTACGCTCAAGGCCGCACTCCCTGCTCCCCATCCCTGCTCCATAGCTCGCTCCTCAAGGAAGCCCTCCGACTTCCCTGCACCCAAGGGAGGATCCCTCCCCCCATGACAGGACCCCTCTCTGTTACCTTGTTCCCCTCCCGCATGCCTGCCTTGAGTTACAGGGGCTCTGTGTGAAGTTCCCCATCTCCTGGCCAATTACTCCATCTCTAACCCTTGTGAGTGACACCCCCCACCCCCACCTGCTGTTGGCTTTCAGGAATTATTTTACCCTTCCACAATTTTTGACCCCAGTGGCCCCTCTTTGCCTTGTTTCTGTCCTTCTTACCTCACCTCTTTGTCAGTCATCTCTTCCTGGATCTCTAGTTCCTCACTCATCCCAACCCATGATCCTCTAAATTCTCCTTCCAGCCGCACCCCTCCCATTCAGGATGTGGGGCTTCCACAGGAGGTTCTGCCCCAGGGAACTGTCACAGCAGCCCCCTTCCCTGTGTCCCTAGCACAGCTGCCACCCCTGATTACCCCCAAATCCCTGCCGGCAGCTCTGGGCCCAAGCCCAGGCTGTGCGTGCCTAAGTGGCCCAGCCAGAGATTAGCTGGGGGGGGGGGGCTAGAGGAGGGTAAGGAGATGGGAGGTGGTGGCTGGACCAGGGGCTGTGGCCAGCCAGCTCTGAAAGACTGGCTTTGGGGCCTAATCCTTCCCTGAGGCAGGATAGAGCTGAAAGGTCCCACAGGGCCCCTCCCTTGCCCTCCCCCAGCTAATTAGTAATTAGTGATTAGTGATTAGTGACTATTGATCGCCTGCTGCTTCTCCCAGTAGGCAGCTGCTTTGGCAAAAGTGGGGGAATCAGAGATACAGAGGGAAAGGAGTCGGACACTATATTAGAAAGATCCTGAAGCAGCCCTGGCAGTAAGGCAATGGAAGCCAGAAGCAGTAGAAGCCAGAAGTCCCAGACCCTGAGAGACCAGGATCCTAGAGCAGGAAGGAAGAAGACAGAGAACTCCTGAAGAAAGGACTAGTGAAGAAGAGGGCTGGTAGTGCTTGATGGTTAGGGGTTTCCAAAGAGCTACTGTGAAAACTGTCCCCACGAGCCTCTCATCCAGTGTCAGCCTCACCTTTCCCCACTCCTAGTGCTGACACTGAGACATCCCTGAAGGCATACCCACACATAAATCACATTCACATATATGAACACATCTGCAGCTTACAACCCCATACCTATATTCAAGTACACTCAAAACAAACACACAGATGCACTCAAAAACCCCAGATTCATATACAGATGACATATGTGCCCCAGCATGAAATGCACCAAAGTCCCTGGGGCCTACACATGTGCACACACTCTATTCACCAATACACATAAGCACATAGGCAGGTATTTAGACATGTAGACACTTCTCTGCACACATTTGTCCATCACAATTATACATATTCATACACTCACAGTGTGTACACACACACACACACACACCACGCATAAAACAGATCCTCACATGCACACAAACTGGACTAAATGGCAGATATCTCTCTCCCTCTGACTTCAACACAGAGGCCCTACAGCTGCAGCTCTCACATACACTCAGATAGATCCCATCGCTCATATCCTCACTCTCACTCTCCCTCAAGTCTCCACCAGATGTTTCATTCCCCTTCAGGGGGCGAAGAAAATTAAACCAGATCTGTCCACTGGGGAGTTTATTTGATGGGGAGAATGAAGAGGAGAGGGGAGGAGGTAGAAATGAGAGGCAGGGCAGTGTCATCCCTACCACCTCTTGACCCTGTGCCTTCACACAAGGGTGGTGGTGGGCCAGACACCCTTCTGTAGACCTCTAATTTAGTGTTGGGCAGCAAATCCAAAAGAGTCTTCCACCCGTGAAAGCGGTTTTCATGGAGGGGGTTCCTCAAGGTCACCAGGTGGGTCTGGGAGAATTAGAGAGCTCTATTGGTAGCTTCACTGGAGTAGCCCCTATCTTGCTAGAGTTGCTGAGGGCAACTGGGCTGGGCAGGTGGGGGTCCAAGTGTTGGGGGAGAACCCTTTCCAGACTCCATATGGACTGGGAGTTGGGGCTTAGGGAGTGGGGGTTTAGAGAGCAACCTGCTTGCCCCTAAACCAGGTAGGTCACCCGTTGAGGTGCAGGAAACAGGGAAACCATGACTAGGGAGGCTAATGAAGGAGAGGGCAAGGGCCTAGGCCCCCTTTGTGGGACACACACCTGGGCACAAACAGATGGCTGCACTGTGAAGCAGGCACTTGCACTCATCCATGCAACGCCAACATCACTACCCTGACACTTCAGCATACACATACACCCTGGGCCTCAGGGCTAAACATCCAAGCCTGGCTTCCCTGGACACATGCAGGCAGGCATACAGCCCACACGTTGACCCACACATGCACACTGTGTACATGAGCTGAAGCTTCAAAGTAGAGAGGGAGGCAGGATTCTGGGTCCCCTTGGCTTCTGGGTCCTTTTCCGAGAACCCTGGGGAAAGAGGCAGCAGCGAGGCGTGGGGGCAGGGAGGAGAGAGTCCCTGAGACAGCAGCCCCCATCGCGGGTCGAGAGAGGGGGGTGTGTCTGTGAGGCTATACAGGGGAGATGGTGTCTCCGCGGGAAATGCTATGGGAGATTGTAGCCAAGTTCAGCCGTGTCCGTGTGGGTCCGTGTATGAGCGTGTGCCCGGGCCGTGTATGCTCCCAACACAGCGCCTACCTGGCATTGTGACAAGTGCAGAGAAGAGAAATGGGAAGGCGGGGGTGGAGGGGTGGAAGGACCTACAGACAGTGAGAAAGGCGAGCGAGGTTGGCGCGGAAAGACAGCAAGGCTGACACCCGGCTGGCTTGTCTGTCTGTCTCGCACTCCCGCTCTGTCTGGCGCACTCGCGGGTCGCGCTTCGTCCCCTCCCCCGCCGCGCCTGAAGCCGGATCCGGGTACGGCCTCCACCCGTACCCCCCCGCCCCAACCCTCACCCAACTTGCGCTGGGAGAGTGCCAGTCCTGAAGCGAGCAGTCTGTCTGTCCGCTTCGCCCACGCCGCGCAAAGTTGGGACGCTCGGAGCTGGGGGCGGGGCGGGCGCACAGATCCTCTAGTACTCTGGGACCTTCGCGTCGAGGACCCCCAGCGCTCGCGCCTCAGCCCTGCAGCCCTTACCTTCCTAAGAAGCCAAGGGCCAAAGAGCAAGAGGAGCCATTCCGCGAGCAGTCGCATCTTCCCGGGCGGCCGAGCTGGGCGGTCAGGGCGGGTCCCGGGGACAGCCGGACAGGGCGCGGGGCTCCGGGCTGCTGGGCGGCGGGGTGGCTGCCGAAGCGGCGGGAGCGGGCGGCGCGGCCCGCGGACTGAACGAGAGGAGCGGAGCGCGGCGCTGGGGGCGGGGCGCGGGCGGGGGAGAAAGTTGGGTCTGACTCGGGCGGGCGGGGGGGGCGGGGCTCCGCGGCGCTCCAATCCCGGCCGCGCCCCGCGCGCCCCCTCCCGCCCAGCTGGGGGCACCGAAGGTGACTTTCACCCCGACACGCCCCAGACACGCCCCTGGTCCAGGTGCGAAGCGGGGAGGGTTGAGGGGCTCAGGGGCCGCGCCCTCGAGAAGCCGGGTCTGTGCACCGACGAGGAATAGGAAAGGGCGTGGGGCTCGAGGCTTTGGGACTGTTCGTGTAAAGGGGGCACCGCGGAGCAGGAATCTGGCGAGGTTCAGCGATGCTGCAGGACCAGGGCCCCTTGATGTCCCGGGGCCCGTCTATGCCCTGGGCCAAGGTGGGTCCCAGGGCAGGAGCCGGGCAGGGGCCAGGAGCAGGGCAGGGGCTGGGGTGAGGGCGGGGTGGGGCCTCAGGCGGCTGCCGTGGCTCTGCGCTGACGGGGATGGATGGGCGCCCCGCGGCTCATTCGGCCCGGAGATGAGAATCATTGATCACAGACGGAAACCCCATCACGTCTGTCAATAGGGCTGACAAACGGCGCCCGCCGCCCCCCACCTCCGCCCTACGGCACCTCTGCAGTCTCAGGACCCCTAGGCTCTACTGGCCCATTCACCTTTGTCCCTAGACCCCCACCCACTCTGACCTCTGCACCTTACAGCGCCCCACTGCATAGGCGCTGCATGGGAAGTCCAGCTCAATGCCGCCTGCCCAGAGTCTTGATGTAGCCTATCCCTTCCCTTCCACTGTCCCATCTTCCACCACCACCTCTTCTTGATCCTTTTCCCCTTTCCTGTCTGTTTCTGTCCTTGTCTCTGTCCCCAGCATCTGTCTCTGTTCTCATTCTCTCTGCTGTTTCTTCATCAGTGCCCTCCTCCCTCTAGTCTCTGTCTTCCCTGCCCAGGGAATCTTCAGCTGTCAGCTGTTGCTATGCACTGAGGCTGAGGTTGTGGTATGACCAACCCTAGGCAGTGAGAGATGGGAACAAGCAAAGAAATAGAGAGACAGGTCCATGCCCTGAGACCTGAATGCACACAACCTCCAGGCATGCCGCAGATGCATTGGTATGGCCTACCACAAGGTAGAGGTGAACACAGACATGTGGAGCAAAGTATATTCACACAGAAACTAGCACTCAGAGATGCACACCAACACACAGTGGATACATTTGATTCACACACACACACAGGAGCTCACAGTAACAGAGACAGACAAATGCAAGCTTGGGCCAAGAGATGAGCACACCCAACCAGGTCCTCAGCACTTCTCCACCTTGCCTTGGCAGAGAGGCAAATATCCACAAAGATGGACGTACACACAGGTGTACACTGGCACTGGCAGTCCAAAGGACAAGCCCAGGCATATGCAAAGAAACAGACAGACAGATATGGGATGTGACAGACATAAAAAGAAAAAGAAAAAAAAAAGAGGGAAAAGACAAGGATGGCGAGAGGATGAAGCAGAAGTAGTAACACTCAGGGAAACAGAAGCCAGGAAGCAGGGACTTGGGTACAGACAGAGCAGAGAAATGAGGAAGGAAGGGACAGAGGTGTTGAGAGGCATAAGGTCAGATGGCCCCAACCAGAATTTTGGGTCCCAGTGCCAAGTTCAGCAGTGGGCACACCCAGGCCTAGGGTGCTTATGACAGAAGCCCATCACCAAGGTCCTGAACTTTGGGAGGCACAATCCATCCCATTATCCTCCTTTTGCTAGCCTCAAGTCACCTGATTTCCCTGTGGTTACACACATATGTATATGCATACAGGTACATGACTGGGCTTGCACCCGCGTGCGCGCGCGCACACATACACACACACACACACACACACACTCACTACTCCTTGTCTCTGGGTCTTTGCCTGTGTCCCTATATCTTCCCATCTCTGAATCTATATCAGTCTGTATTAGCCTCTGTCCCTGGCTCTGCACGTCTCTGTTCTGTCTTGTAGGCTCCTCCCACCTTGCTGGATGGGGAGTTTGGGAGGTTCACTCTTGATGGATCTTCTCTTAGCCAGTCCTGGCCAGCAAAGGGAGGATGATTACCAGAGGGGTGTGCTTTCTAAGCTGCAGCTGGGAGCCCTTCTCCCTATGCCCAGGATTTTTAGGCGACAAGCAGAGAATCAGTGGCTCCCGCGGGGGCGCCAGATGCACGACTGGCAGAGGGAGGGGTGAGCGGGTGGGGCTGGTGAGCCGGCAGGCGCTGGGATAGAGAGGGGAGCTGGCTGGCAGAGGATGGAGGGGTGTATGGCAAAATAGCCCGGGGCGGGGAAGTGAGAGGCTGGCCTGGGTTCCCCACAGGTGCATAATTAAGTGTGTTGAGGAGAGGGCTGTGCTAGGTTCCAGGATAAACAGCGCAGCGGGAGTTCTAATGCCACCTGGTGGCCATATAGGGACACAAGTCTCTCAGTAATTAACAAGGACACCTCTTTTTCCCAGGAGGTTTGCTCCCTCCAGGACCTTAGGTGTCCAGGAAGGTGGGGGTGAGGAAGTGGATCTCAGAGTTGGCTTGGAGGATGAGATTGGAAATGGGAATTTCAGGACTGAGAAGGAAGGGATGGGTTCTTGTTTCTGAAGGTGCTTAAACCCAGAAGCTTTTCCAAGGAAGGAGAAAGCCAGGGAGGCATATCCTGGAGAAGTTGAACCAGTAAGGGAATGAAAGGCAATATTCTCCCTTTGGAAGCTGGATAAGAGATCATCAGGCATTTGCAGCCACTCTTCTGATTTTGCTGTTGTGGGGGAGTGGGGCTCTATTCCTCTCAGTCCTGGGGGGTGTGAAGCTGTGTGACCTTCTCCAAAGAGGCTCCCCTCTTTGAGCAAGGACAACTTAAATTGTCTCTGTCAATTTCTAGAATGTCTGAAATGGTTGGTGAGCTGGATCTGTTGAAGGATGATGGGCCTGGCAAACTGGTGTGTCCAGCTCTCCTTCAGTCCTTCCCATTTAAATCCAGGGTTCTACTCTTGGCATCTGATCAGTCTCTATGAAGTCAGATGTCAATACTTCGAGAGCAAATGTGGGCAGAGAACGCCACAGGGGACCATCTTGAAGACCTAGAAAGCCTTCACAACCCAATATATTCATTCCTTCCAGTGGGATTTTTTACTGTGGTTGATAATATGGGGCAGGAGGGGTGATGGTATCCAAAGGAAGTGGTAATGCAGAGTTAGTGTCCTAGAGCCAGAGGGCACACAAGATTCAGAGCAGTGAAGTCACTGGCTCAAAGTCACATATCCAGGAGAAAAAGGTCCTTCCTGCCAAGTCCAGTACCATCCCCTTTCCCTGCTATAGCAAGATGGAGAAGGAAGGGGCTCCAGGAGAAGGGAACTGAGAGCAGGACACTCAAGCCTGCCTTCAGTAAGATCTCGGCTCCCTCTGGTGGCTGAAGCCCCAAAGCGCAGCCCAGCCCATAATCACATTCGCAGGCAGACACAAGCAGCTTCTCTTTCTCTCTCTCTTTTTTTCTTTTTTCTTTTTTTTTTTTTTTTTTTACAATTTTATTTATAACAATATCTGTGTTATTTAGTTGTAAAGGAATTCAGCAAAAATTATTAAAACGTTCATGTCCCCAAAACGGGGCTGCCCACTTGCCCTTCCTTGGTGTGCCCCATTTCCTCATCCCCAGGGGAAGGGAGGTTGGGGGTCTGTTACCAATGAAGGTTTCCAGCCCTGGGAGCCATTGTGAGGGCACTAGAGTGGGGGCCTGTCTGGGAGGTTACTGAGCATGGTCATCTCTGAGGTGCCCATAAGAGTAGGGGCCAGGTCTTGGGGCATCCTTCCCCAAGAACTAAAAAACTCCATTCTTCCCTTCCTACCTCAGCCAGAGACAAATCTTCCAGACAGGGGCAGCAGAGAACTCTATCTCCCCAGAATTAGCCCCCAGGGACTTGGGAAAGGGGGAACTGGAGGGGGAAAGAGTAGGACCTTGACAAAGTGTCTTGTGGGGGGCTGCACCACAAGCTCTCCCAGGGGGGTACATTTTGGTGGGAAAGTAGGAGGTGGGCTCCCTCATACTTGCAGGAGCCCCCAGAGCCCTCCCTGCCCTCACAAGGTAGCATGGGGGGTACTGAGGAGCAGGCAGGAAGGAGGAGAATGGAAAGAGATAATACTGTGCTCGCTTGCTCACTCACATATAAAAAGTAATTCCTTCATTTTTACATTTATACATCCGGCAGGGCCAGGGAAGGGCTAGCTGGGGAGGGGGCTCAATGAAGGACTTCTCTGGCAGGGGCTCTCTGGGGGAAGTCCAATGGAGCAGGATTCTATGCCAAGGGGTCCCCTATCTCGTCCTCAGGGCCACGGCCCAGGAGTTCTCGCTTCTCGTCCGTGCTGGCCAGGGAGTGACGGCTGCCGTGGCCCCCCATGTAGAGTGTAGCATACACGGGGTTGGTGAAGTTGGTGGGCTGTAAAGCAACAGAGGGTTCAGGTGGGGCTCAGGGGCTGGGCTCTGTGGCCCAGGTACCCCACACCCCACCTCTGACCCATCATCCAACCTGACACCTTAAATCACCCTACCCATAGCCTCTTAGTCCTACCCTGGAAGCCCTTCCAATCTCTCCTCCAGCCCACCTTGTCAGGGTCCAGGGCAAAGTCAGCATCCAGCAGGCCACCAACATCATCAGGTTCTCCTCCTTCGTACATCTTGTATGTAGGGTTCCCAATCTCCACGTTCATGGCTCCGTTCGTCATCCGCTGGTGCTGGAAGCCCTTAGCCCTGGGGAGAGGCATGAGTCTAAGGAGGCAGAGATTCTGGGGGGGGATGTATGGGAGGTCAGACTGGGTATCAAAATAATGTCCAGAACTTTCTAGACTCCTGGTGGCTCACCCTCGGACTCGCCGCTTATACCAGAATACCACTCCAGCTACCAGAAGCAGCAGTAGCAGCAACAGCAGAGGGATCAGGATAGAGGCCATATCTGGAGGGAGGTCATGAGAGAATGAGTC